TTTTAATCGACTCGACTGCAAATGTCATCCTCCCCTGCAACTGCAGTTACCGCACCAAGAAGATTTAAATGGCAGTACCCACCACCCCAACCAACACCAAGAATCCTCCACCTCCCGCGGAGGCCTCGCCGGAGAGCTACCAAGAACGTTCATGGCGGAAAACACAATTCAGGGGAGGCCAGGAAGGACCACAAGGGAAAGCTGGAGGCTCTGTTTGATCAAGAGAGAGCTTTTTCGAGAACCGGTTCGCCGGTTGTGCTTCTTGAGTGTGGGGATGGGGAGGAGAGAGAGAGGAGGAGAGAGAGGGTTAGAGAGGAGGAGGAGGAGGAGGGGGAGGGTGGTGGAGTGGTGGAGGAGGAGAGGTGGAGGTTTCAGGCTGAGATGTTGAAGGCGGAGTGTAATTTGTTGAGGATGGAGAGGGAGATTGCTGAAAGGAAAATGGAGAGGACGAAGGTTAAGATGGAGAGGACTCTTAAATCAGCCGTGCACACTCTTGTTTCTGTAAGTTCTCTCTCTCGCTCTCTCTCATTTTGTATTTGCTTACGTAGGTTTTGAATTGCCTGTTTGGTTGATGAGAAAATGCTAGAAGGAGAAGGAAAACCCCAACAGGGTTTTTCTGTTTGGTTGCTGAGAAATTTGATAGGAATAAGTGGAGGATTTTTCAAGTTCGTTTCGTGGTGATAGTTATTGACCAAAATGTAGGATTACAAAGAAAATTGAAGTTTTTAAACACATGGGGAAATTATAATAACCTCGAATTGAAATTGCCGCTTGCTCAAGTTTTGAATGATAGATTATATTTGGTTTTGAAAGCAGAACTATTCTATCGTTTCTCATGTTTTATCGGGAGAGAGAGAGAGAGAGAGAGAGAGAGAGAGAGAGAGAGAGTATTTATCTGGTTTGAATATTGCAGTTTCTTTTTTTGAAAAATATGCCTTTAGACCGTCTCCCACGAGGGTGGAATAAAAAAAAAAAGAAGAATTTTGAGTTTGGAGTGGGTATTTGAGTCTCCAATGGCCCCCGGACGGATAAGGAAGCGATTGGAAGGCCCCAGCAAGCACCACATGAAAGGGAAGGAAAGGGCGGAGCCGCTCGTCAAGCGCAAGTGGACCGAGGGATTCCCTGCTGCCAGGGTCACAACAAGTCCATTTTTTACGGCTCAGATGCGCTAGCCGTTGTCATTTCATCGGCTGTCGCGCGCTCTTAGGTCATGTGATCCAGTGAGACGTGCTCAGATTTTCCAACAGTAACTGTGTTGTGCGGCCTAGATTTCTTTACCGTTTCAATCCAACTATCAGTTTGAAAATTTTTCGACTGTAACTTTTATATTTCAACGGTTTAAATCTAATTTAATCAATTTTGACAGTAATAAAATAATGTAGCGGCCTAATATTTGAAATTCAACGATCAAAATAATATTATTAATTAATCCAATTCTTCTATATTGAATTCTTCTAGTATTTGAATTCACTTATTACGACTTGAACGCATTGAAAAATGAAAGTGTTTAAGCAAAAATATAAGATTTAAGAAGGTGGAAAACTGACCTCATACGTAGACGAATAGTTGAAAATACGGGGCTAAATTTTTGGATTTCCCACCCTTGAGTTGGAGATAGTCTTACTGCTCAAATCTGAAACTTTGTTTCTGTTTCGGTTTCTTGGATTGCTCGGTAAATTCTTCCATTTGCTTAAGAAGAAATTACATTGAACTAAAATCAAGGAAAAGTTCGAATCTTAGGCCGTGCTTCTTCTGCATTCTTACTTGTATTCCAGCAAGTTTTTCTTCAGAATAATTGACAACGGCTTTGTGTGAGACAAATTTTGATGTTGTGACTGGTTTTCAGCGGCAAAAGAAGATTTGCAACGGAAAGGTTTTGGAGGAAGAGATTCAACACTTGGCAGAGAAACTACAGAGGTTGCAAAGAAATTTACGAGTTAAGGATTCGGAGGTTGGGAAGAACTCTAGTAATTTTGATAAACAAGCCCATCTTCTCCAAAGACGGCTTCAGAAGTTTAGGACGACATCAGATGAGATACGTGTGAAGGAGATCCAAGGGATGGCAGAAGCAAGCTTGTCGATCAAATCAAGCTCTCGAGTAAATGAGAACTTGGTTTCGGGTGGGAAAAGCAATGTGAGCATTATCTTCCTTTCGTGCAAACTAGTGTCATCGATCTTGCTTTGATACTTCAATTTGAAGACACGGATGATCTTGACTCTTACGATTTATATTGTTATAATGTGTGTGTGTCACCTCTCAACTGAATCATGTTAGTTTTGACTTTAAAATTGATAAAGTGAGGAGACTCTCGATAACCAGGCGTGCATTGTTTTACTTCATGATTTGCATGATTGCCTTATCGGTTCTATAAAAAATACTACGCAGGCGGAGATTCTGAGAAGGAAAATGGAGGGATTGTCGAACGGGATGTTATTAGAGAGGATGAAGGAAGAGTATGGTTCAATGCTGTCTACATCCAATAGTTCGGTTGCCAGTTCTGCCTCTTCTTTCAAGAGAATTGAAGCTGAAAATCTGTCTTCTTCCTTGATACAACAATTTTACAAGGTATATTCTTGCAAAAGGGTGACTTATTTATGGAATAAAGAAAACATTGTTACTAGAAGGAATATTAAGTTTGGACAATTTGCTCCGCAGGAGAAAGAGTCTCGTGAAGAGGACGTGTGCTCAGGACGTTGCAAGGCAATAGTTCGAAGAATTGTAGAGCAAGTACGAGTTGAGACAGAGCAATGGTCTCAGATGCAGGAGATGCTGGGGCAGGTGAGGGAGGAGATGGAAGAATTGCAGGCTTCTAGGGACTTTTGGGAAGATCGAGCTCTAGATTCTGATCATCAGATTCAATCCTTACGCTCAGCTGTAAGATATTTCGTCCTTTACTATCCTATGCTTAGTTATTGTTTACAAATTTATCTAGACCAAGCTGCTACTGGGAAGAGGGATATCCTCAGCTCTTTTTGGCTGGGCTACATTGCTCTCTTTGATGTTTTAGGAGAATCTAATATCCATCGAAAAGCAATATGTTTGGAATAGCTGGAATATCCTTGATTTTCTGCATGATTTTGTAACAGGATTGACAGGTTTCTTATGATGCTTAGAAGTTAGAAGGCACTCTAAAGAAAGTCTCATTTCTTCTGCAGGTGCAAGAATGGAGGCAGAAAGCCATTTCATCTGAAAGCAAAGGAAGGGAGTTACAAGTGCAAGCGTCAACGCTCCACGGAGAGCTTGATAGGTTGAGGAAGGAAGAAAGCACAAGACTAATGAAGGCCAACGGTTCGCCACTTATTCCCCAGAATCCACATAATGAAATGGAAAAGCGGGTACTGATTTGTCACTTGAAGGAAAATCAGCGTACCAAAGAAGACGGCCGCAAGCAAAGGGAGGATTTAACCGATGGAAGTAAAAAACCAGACACATACATCAACAGAACACCTAATGCTCCGAAGCGAACGCCGTTTCAAAACATCGGAAACTCCTCATTTTCGGCGAGGCAGAATGGCAAAGCAGTCTTCCCGTATCATTACCCTCAACCTTCCAAGACATAGAAAAGTTTTGAGATTCAGTACATGGATTCAGCGTAGGAATTTTCATCTACTTTACCCATATTAACTGTAGGAAATTCTTCCCCTTTTCTAATCATGTTAACTGTACGGCCCATTGTTCTAATTCAAGAGGGTTGGTGAGTTGGAATCTAAGTTCTAAGGAGTCGGTATCAATTTATGCTTAATTGCTCCGCATATAGTCCCTCTAACCATATTTTCTAAACGAACTAGAGCCCATCAGAATTGATCTTTTTCATGTTTGTTGTGGATTTTGACTTATTGCATCAATTATATGCCAACAAGTATGATCAGTTATATTTACTTGCTCTCATATTAACTTGAGTTGTTCTTGAGGGTCTCATGAAATGATTTCTCGTCGAGAGTCTTGAGAAATGAGAGTTTAGATAAACATAGAGTTTGAATGAAACTAAAATCATAAGGTCATTTAAATATTTTTCACATTTACCAATTTATTCATTTATATATTGTAACCTGTATATTAGTAACGCAACACAAATAAAAAAATGCGCATACAATTAAATTCTAGAAGAACGAAGATTAAATAATTAATGTTCAACTAGCATGTATGGTTTGGTGGTCAAGTTGGGTGGCCAGAACTCCAGTAGTGTGAAACGTAAAATGTAGATCCTCCATGCTTTGTTGGGTTTGCTGAGTTCTAGTATTGACATCAAAATGGATGAAATTTTTTTCTATCTTAAGGTGATGGAAGTAGAGGTGTTAAAAAACTGAAAACCGAAAAAAAGGGATCGAACACCAAATCGAAAAAAAATCGAACCGAACCGAACCTTATTGGTTTGATTTCAATTTTGGAGGTTCGAAAACCAAACCGAACCGAATCCCTTTATACTTTATGAATGTATGCCCATGATGTTTTCTTTTGTGAAACTTTGTTGTCAAGTTTGAAACTAAGCATAAGACTTTTTCAAGGAGCATACTTGTTTTAATTAGGGAGAATATTTCATTGGTAATGGAGTTTCAGATGGCATTGGAACTTGGAAGAGCTTATCTGTTTGTTTGTTTTTTGAATGGAATATGATGATCATTTTTCATTGCAATTGAGGTTAATGATAGAATATGATTGATTTATATGATCTTGCATATACATAACTATCTTCCCACTTTTCACTTTCCCCTTTTTCTTATTATTAGTTGATAAATGCAAGCCTCTTTACTAAATTCTATATTAAAAAAGATTAAGTTTTATAAAATAAAATAAAATAAATCTAAAACCATACCGAAATCAAACAGGACAAAACCAAACTGAAAAAAAAAAAAACCAAACCGAATGAAACCGAGCGCACTTCTAAATAGATGACGAAGCATTTCCTCTGTTTCTCCTAAAAACGCATCACAGCCGCTGGTTTAAAGTTACAAAAATGAGAGGTCGAGATTAAGTTTAACCGGGTCATGCGCATCTCACGCGCACAACCCACCATATGCGCAGGAGAGAACTACTCCTATAAATTCAGATGCGGCACAATTTGTGCCTCCGTTACCTGAGTCCCATCCTACCGTTTGCATCGCTCTGCTCTCAACGCCGTCTTCTAATCTCTCCCCATTGCAATTCATCTGTGAGTTCTCGTTTCATCAGTTTTTATATCCGCAATGTCGCGCTCTGAATTACATATCTGCTGATAGATCTAGGGTTTCGTTTATTATGCTTGGGATTTTCTCAGATTCGTACAATTTACCAAATGAATTACTTTTATTGATTTTATATTTGTATATTATGTTTGGTTTCTGAGAAAATGTGGGATCATAGACTTGACAAATTGGATTCCAGGTTGATGTTTTAGCAGATTTTCATTTGTTGATTGAGAAATCTAGAAACTTTATACATTGAAAGAACTTACATTTTACATTGGAAACGACCCTGTCTAGCCGCTATTTGGTTATGCGAATCTCCGCCATTTTTTTGCTCTTTCATATGGTCGTGCGTTTGGTATATTAGTTGCTGTATTTTGTTACGCTGTGACATGATTTAGGTTCTTACTAGCCTTGCCGAGTCACCGTATTATTTTTTACTTTGAACAATGCTCCCGTGTTTATGTTGGACAATACGGAAACTGAGTTGCTATATATTTGGTTCAAGATTTTTGGTCATCTCTTATATGCATGGTATATACGCACTGCACGAACGTGCTCCTTTATCAATATTAGTTTTCAACTGTACCTTGTAGTTCTCTTTGGTTGTTAATTTGTTCTGTTCGGTGTCAGCCTTGTTGTTGCGGTGGGGATGATGGGGACTATAGAGTGATAAGCTTTAGGATTAATTCCTCTAGTTCTCCCTGAAACTAGTGTTAAATCCCACATTTCCACCGGATTACAAATTTGTATTCCCCATCTCTTCTTTACTCCATCCCCAGCCCTAGCCATGACCACTTTTCCTCCACCCCAGCCGTGACTCCTTTCCCACCATCCCCTCCCCAGCCGTTAAACAGACCTCCCCGACCTAGTCTCAGATACTAAACCTATCGTTACATCTTCTTAATTCTATAATTCCCTACCTCCCAAAACAAACCAAAGCATCAACTCTATCTTCACCCAAAGCAACAATGACATAATACAAGTCTCTTTTTGGGCAATTGAGTCTCTTATGTGAATTATTTTGGGTGTGGGTTTTGAACTTGGGCAGAAAAACTTGGAACTTCATGGAGTTGGGTATGAATTTATTTGTTCCTCCCTGCCCTCTACTGCCATAAGCACACCCACCTGTGTGTGTGTGTCTTTCTAGACAAGCTCAACTAGGCATGAATGCGGTCAACGTGACTTCCAGGAAGGTGTAGAAAAAAGCTTCCCTAGCCCTATACCACAAAATAAAAAAGAAGTTCGCAGCTTTTCTTTACCCCAGCCCCAGCAGTGACCCCTTCCTCGGCTGTTCACCATCATTACATCTTCTTAATTCTATAATCCCTACCTCCCAAAACAAACCCAAAGCCAAAGATTCAACTGTACTTCACCCCAAGCAGCAACGACTGAATGTAATTATCTTTTCAAACAATGGGCCTCGTATTTTGATAATTTTTTGTTTGGGTTTTGCATTGGGATTGAACAACTTGTCTTCATGGGTTTTGGCTAAGAATTTGTGTATTTGTTGGCTGTGAATTTGTGGGTTCCTCTCTCAGCTGAAGATATGTGGGTAGAGCCAATGGTCTCTTGGGTTGTTACCTTGTAAATCACCATTATCTTATGGTTTTACTGTTTCAACTAGGTTTTAATTTTTCAAGCCTTACTCCATTATCCGATTGAAAGAAAACTATATTCTAGGGTGTATTGAATGAGATTCACACATTCCTTCATCCCTGAAAAATTGAACCATAGGTTTATTTGTGAAAGAGTGCTTTAGCTGATTTGAACCCTTTGAAGTTTATGTACATAGGCTCAAATTAGTACTTGTTAGAAATGTTATTTTAACTTAGATTTGTCATATTTTAGTTTTCAGTATTTTTCTTCATTTATGGTAATATTCTCAGAAGCTTGGTTTGACCAGTGTTTGTAGATTCATTAACTTCTTAAAAATTGTAAAAAATTGTAAGTGATGCTACTCCTTGTGACCTTGTGCTTGTGTACGTTAAAGGCTAATGAGTGACATGTAGAACCTTCACTTCCAGTTTTGTTGTATGCATCTGTTTTCTACTTTCTATCTTCATTGAGTTAACTCATTCCAAAACGATTCACAATGAGATAACTGGCTCTTCTCGTTGCGCATTTCTCCATTTGCTTATTGTTTGACTTTATGTTCGTACTTATTGCAGTTGAAAAATGGCAGCAAAGTACATTTTAGGATCTATTGTGGGGACCTTTGGGCTTGCGTATGTTTTCGACACTATGATATCTGACAAAAAGATATTTGGAGGTACTTTTGATGACAAAACTGCTTGATGAAGTCGTTTAGCGTAGTAAATTTCTGTGCAATTTAACACTATTAAATTATAACCAGGTAGTACTCCCTGGTACCGTTTCAAACAAAAAATGGGGGGAAGAAACTGACAAGAAGTTCCAGGCTTGGCCACGAACTGCAGGACCTCCGGTCGTGATGAACCCCATTAGTCGCCAGAATTTTATTGTCAAATCAGGTTTGGAGTAGTGAAATGTTTTGTCTTAGACTCATAGCTTGAGCTGTTATTGTTTCTGCTTTGGTGGAAGATGCATTAAACTCCCACAGGCATTTTTTTTGAAGAAATTCCGTTCAGTTACGGGTTCTTTTGCATTTGAAATAAGAATTGCGCACTTATGCAAAATGAAAGGTATAGTATACTGATTGCATGATCTTGCTTTTTGGGGCAGTTTTCTGTGTACCGATTGTGTTAATGGAAGTTATTTACTGATTTGAAATTTCAGGCCATAGTTACAACCTTCCTGACAATCCATCGTTATACCTGTAGGGATGAGTGATCAGGAAGGGAGGACGATTCTCTTTACTTATTCATTGTTTCTTGCACATAAAGAAATGGGTTTTTGTTACAAACAGTCTCTGAAATTAACCTATTTCATCACTTTGGTCCCTCAATTTGAAAATCAATCAACGTCGTCTCTAAATTTGACTACTGCACATTAATGTAGTGCCTGCTGTACGAATCCGGTAAATTTTCCGTTGGTTTGCTAACATGTCACGTAGAAAAGTCACACAACCAATATTTTGATGCCATGTGGATGATACCTAAAATAATTCACTTTTTAGTAGTTTAAAAAACAATTAGAAACCAAATAAATAATAAAAACAAAAAAAAAGCCCAACGACATCTGCCTCGCCGCCTCCGCCCATTTGCCACACCATCCCGCCCAAGCCCAGTCACACTCCGTCGACGAAACTGGCGAGTAGGGAGCGAGGAGCAAATACCGAGCAACCCATAATTGGTTGGTGGGTATTTATTTATTTATTTAATTTTTTTTTTTTTGAAGGAAGCGATAGTATTTTCATTAAGGTAAATAAAACATTACAGTGGAACAAAGGAAAAACATATTAGGATGAGGCACAATCCTCCAAAAGTACATCAGCTATGATACGAGGAGGGAGGTTCATCCATTCACAAGAATGTTTCACTGATAGTCCCAACTCCCAAGTGAGCAAGCCTGTGGGCTGCCGTGTGGCTTGACAGCAAATGTGGGTAAAAGGCACTTTAGTGACTGAGGGCGCTAGAATCTTGATGTCTTCCACCACTTGACCAATCTAGGATAAGTTAGTCAAAGAATCACGTAAAGCTTCCACAATCTGAAGCGAGTCACTCTCACAGGGTAAGTTTGTAAAACCCCTACTCATTGCCCAAATCAAACCAGATGCCACAACGTCAGCCTGTAAGGGAGTGAAAATATCCAGAGCATTTCCACAAGAAGTTGCCACAAAAATTCGAGAGTCATCTCTGATAATGAAATCGAAGCCCCCTAACTTTGCTCTCGCAATTCCAGGCACCATCAATGTTTCATTTTAGCCGACCCGAGGGTGGAGTTGCCCATTTTGGCGCGATACGCAGGGATGGGTTGGATTGCCAGATGTCCCCATTAACAGTAATAAAACTTAGCCACCAATGAAGTGTTTGCACCATCACCACATCAGGTAATTCCCCTTGTTCGTTCCGAAGTTTCCCATTCCGGGCTCTCCAGATTGCCCAACAAATAATCATGACCGATTTAAAGTGAGCAGTATGGAGCAAAGCAGCAACCTCCATAACCTAATCAAGGAAGGAAACAGGGGATGAACCCCGTAGTAGAATCCCCAAGTGAGAAGCCGTACATGCATACTTGGCAAATGGACAATCCGTTAAGAGGTAGAGAATGGATTTCGTCTGATAGTTACACATCACACAGGCCAAGTCCATAGAAACATGGCGCTTCCTCATGTTTTCCTCTGTAGGGACGATGTTTTTATAAAGTCTTCAGAAGCAAACTCTCACCTTAAAGGGTGCATTAGCCTGCTAAACTTTAGCCCAAAATTTGGAGTTGATTCCCAAGGAAGCAGAGGAGGACGCCCTATTGTTTATTGGATTCAACTATTCCCGGTGATATGATAAGCACTTTTTACCGATAATTTGTCATTTTTTTGAAAATTCCAGATTAAATGGTCAAGAGTACGTTGGAAACTCAATTGTATAACACAAATAGCTTCCACTTCGGTCCCCCAAAAAAAAAAAGACACTAATAGGTCCACATCCCAAGCCCTCACTAAAGCGGGATAAAAGTTGGCTGACCTTTTGGAGGCTACAATCTACAGGTTTTGGAGAGAAGATCCGGAAGGTGGACAGGAGAGGGATCTAGGGATCCTCCCAAACGTTGATAGATTCACCGCATCCCACTTGCCATCTTGAACCCAAATCGATAATCTTAGGAGCAGTGTGCATACTTTTCCTGTAGTACGAAGAGTCCGGGGAAGCCATTGCATTAAGAAAATTAGAGTTGGGGAAGTACTTTGCTTTGAAAACTCAAGCCACCAAGGATTGTGGATCCAAAATAAGCCTCCATCCCTGTTTAGCAAGTAAATCGAGATAAAGGCATAAAGGTTCTTGAAATCCAAGCCACCATCATATTTGGGGAGGCATATTTTATCCCAGAAATACCAATGGATGCGCTTCCTACCCTTGCAGTTATTCCACCAAAAGGAGGCCACCAACCGATTCAAGCTGGCACAAAAATATTTTGGTAGAAGAAAACAGTTCATCACATATGTAGGGATAGCCTGGGCAACAGCTTGGACCAGAATTTCCTTCCCAGTCGCACTCAAAAGCTTCCCCTTCCAGCTTTGTAACCGTTTCCAAAGACGCTTCTTTATGTAAGCAAAGCATGCAATCTTATTTTTCCCTACCAAGGTTGGCATTCCCATATATCTTTCATGTTAATCCACCTTTTGAACCCCCAATGAACTTGCAAGCCTCAATTACATAGGTCTTTTTACATTTTTGCTGAAACACACTTCACTTTTTGGGAGGTTTACTTTCTCCCTCGAAGCAAGCTCGTAGATGAGGAGAAGCTCGGAGATATGATGACACTCAGCCTCGGTTGCACGACAGAAGAGAAGACTGTTGTCAGCAAACAGGAGATGGTTTATGCTTGGAGCACTAAAGCAAATAGAGATCCCTTGCAATTGTCCTTCTCGCTCCTGTTTTGCAATAAGACTAGACAAGCCCTTAGCGCAGAGAAGGAAGAGATAAGGACAAATGATCTCCTTGTCTGAGACCTCGAGTAGGGTGGATATAACCTTTTTGGCTGACCATTTACAATAAAATAGTAAGAGACTGTTGTCACAAACTTGCATCACCAGATTCACCCATCTCAAAGAGAACCCCATGGTGATAAGAATGCTCCTAAGGTAGTGCCATTCAATACGATCATAAGCCTTGCTTGTGTTAAGCTTCAAAGATAAGAAACAATTTCCCCTTGGCTGTTTGGACAAGCAAGTGGCAATCTCTATCGCAAGTAGAATGTTGTCTGATATGTGTTTTCCTGGAACAAAGGCGGTTTGGTTAAGGGATATGATTTGGTTGAGAATACGTTTTAACCTATTGGCCAAAACCTTTAAGGCAATTTTGAAGATCACATTCCACCTCCTTAGGCAAATTGACTTTCGGTATCAGAGAGACATGAGTATAATTCCTTGTTTGAGCATCTTCCCAGATTGGAAAAGAACAATGATGGCCCTGGTGACGTCCTTCCCAAAAATCCCCCATAATTTTTGAAAAAAGAAAAGTGCATTCCATCAGGCCCAGGGGCTTTGGAGGGGTGCATTTGGGATAGGGTAGCCTTAACCTCCTCAGCAGAGATGGGAAAATCAAGTCTTCTATTCATATCATCCGAAACTCTAGAACCAACAAATAAGAGAACCTCTTCACCGCCAGGCTGAGGGAGGAAAGAAACATGTCCCTGAAGTACTTCAAAACTACATCCTCAATGCCATTATCCTCCAATACCCATGCACTGTTAGTATCAGTTAGCCTTTTTATGTGATTTTTTTACTATTGAATATTGGCCCATTGGTGAAAGAACCTGGCATTCCTATTGCCCTGGTGCATCTAGAGGATACAGGATCTCTGTCGCCAAAAGGTCTTTTCTTGGCCCAATAGCCTGTTATGTTGGTCAAGCAAATTTGCCCTCTTGACAATGGACTTATCAGACAAAGGTTGGGCATGAATAAGGCCAAGTTTAGATCTCACCCTTGTGATATCATTTTGTCGCCTTTTGAACACCACTTTTTGCCATTTTAATAAAGCCACCCTTGTGGCCTTAATCTTATGGACCACTTGGTAAATAGGAACCCTTACCACAGGACGCTCCCAGGCTTCCCTGATGACACTCTCACAGTTGTCATGGTTAGCCCAATACTCTTCAAAGAGAAATCCGTGACGACATTTCTTCCTCGGTGTTGACCCTTCATCCAAGGAGATAATAATGGGTACATGATCAGAAGTGCTAGGATCCAAATGAGTGACCCTAGCATTTCCAAACAAATTCTTCCAGCTCAAGGATGCTAGAACATAATCTAGGCGTTCCTTTATTCCACCTGAGCAAGTCGTGACCCAGGTGTGCTGATTCCTTGAAAAGCCCAGAGAAAAAAAAAAATTGCAATCATTTACTGCAGTTTTGAACACAAGTATCTAATTAATGGGACGGACAGGGCCTTATTCCTTTTCATGAACATGTAAGAGCTTATTGAAGTCTCCTCTTACGACCCAAGGGACCGAGCAGCGATAAGTTAAATCGCGAAGCAGGTTCCATGAATGAAAACGTATTTGGATATCTGTAAAAGCTTGTGAACCTCCAATGAACAGGATCCCCTATACCTCAAATCTCTGAATCAATGAATCTGTCCGAAGAAGAGAAGATTTGAAGATTCATCTCATTATTCCAAAAAAGGCAAAGCCTTATAAAATTACCTTGAGAGCTTACCCTGAAAACTCTATCAAACCCTAACTTAACTTTCAAAGAGGTAACAGAAGAGCATGAGGACTTGGTTTCACTGAGAAAAACCAAATCGGGATCTTGCTGCTTGATTATGCCTTGCAGTGCTTGAACTCATTGAGGGTTCCCCAGCCCCCGACAGTTCCAGAGTAAGATTTTCATGGTTGGCGGCGTGACTGAGCCTTGTCAGCAGCCACCAATTTGAGTTTCTTTGACCCTCTGTTTCAACCAAGTAATCCGCATACTTCTGCTTCTACCACATCCTTAGAGGGAGTGATAATGACATCACTAAGAAATTAATCCTCACTTGTAGTACCTCTAGAATTTGATCGAGCAGTGGAGTTGCTATATCCCCACGCCCCTTGGCTTTTGTTCCCTAAATT